TGGGATGTGAGTCGAGCCCCAGCGCGCTGGAACTTCAAATAAACTCCTCCTGCTTTTGCATCAAGGGACGTCTTTCGTGAGTGATTTTGGGTGGCGTTATCCCTGACTTGGGTTGGGGGAGCCCTGCCGAAGGGAAACCCAACAGCAGCAAGGATGAAACATGTCATTTTTGACACAGTCTTTCCACTTCTGACAAGTGAGCTCTGATGTGAGGAATCCCTAAAGGCTTTCCTACATCGCTTATACTCACAAGGCATCTCTACTGTGTGCTCCTCTATGGCTGCTAAGGTTTGAGGCCTCACAAAACGTTTTCCCACATACCTTATATTCACAGGGCCTCTCTCCATTGTGAGTTTTCACATGTGTGGTAAGATATGTGAAAAATCTAAAAGCTTTCCCACATTTCTTTCATTCATCAAGTGTTTGCACTATGAGTTACGTTGAGAGACAAAAGGAATGACTGACAGCTTTCCCACGTTCCTTGTATTCACAAGGTCTCTCTCTACATTGAGTACTTGTGCATTGAGTGAGGTGGGAGGTTTGTGTGAAGGTTTTCCCACATTTCTTACATATGTAGAGCCTTTCTCCACAGAGGACTTACAAGTTTACTGAGCTGAGAGCAATACGTAAAGGGTTTCTTCCCCAAATTCCTTGTACTCACAAGGTCGTTCTCTATTGGGAGCTGCTCTGTTTACTGAGGATTGAGGAATCACTAAAGGCTTTTGCCCAATGCTTCCACTCAAGATCTCCCTCCACAGTGAGTTCTTCCATGTCTGATGAGGCCTGAGGCCTGAATAGTCTTTCCCACATTCCTTACACTCATAAGGCCTTTCCTCACTGTGTGTGAGTCTGCATATGTTTAGTGAGGGATGAGGACCCAATAAAACCTTTTCCACATTCTTTACATTCGTAAGGCCTCTCCCCACTGTGAGTCCGCATATGTTTAGTGAGGGATGAGGATGCAATAAAACCTTTCCCACATTCTTTACATTCAAAAGGCCTCTCCCCACTGTGAGTTCGCATATGTGATGTGAGTGAGTACAACTGAGCAAAGTGTTTCCCACATTCCTTACATTCATAAGGCCTCTCCTCACTGTGAGTTCGCATATGTTTAGTGAGAGATGAGGACGCAATAAAACCTTTCCCACATTCTTTACATTCGTAAGGCCTCTCCCCACTGTGAGTCCGCATATGTTTAGTGAGGCATGAGGACGCAATAAAACCTTTCCCACATTCTTTACATTCGTAAGGCCTCTCCCCACTGTGAGTCCGCATATGATTAGTGAGGCATGAGGATGCAATAAAACCTTTCCCACATTCTTTACATTCATAAGGCCTCTCTCCACTGTGAGTTCTCACATGGATAGTGAGTCCTGAGGAGCTACTAAAACCTTTCCCACACTCTTTACATTCAAA